CACCTATCCCCCTTGAAATTAACGTTGATACTTGTCTAATTCCTCTGCCTTGAAATAACTGACTGCAATGACAGAACAATTGTCCCTATTACTGAAACTTTGGCAATGATCTGGGCTGATAGAAAAGTACAGAAATATCTGTCCAAAATGCAGTCATTTGGAAAATTACAGGGAATTTTTGACAGGATTTGCAGAAAATTGCAGGGGTTGGTGCTATTGAGGTGCATTTTACTATCAACCTACATTTTTTTCACTTTATTAAAACTAAATATGAGGAAATAACAAATTGTTGCAAAAAAATGTTAATTGCTTCTTTAACAAAAACTGGGTGGCCCATTTTTGAGGGGATGGGGGAAGCACCAGCGAGGCTACAGGCGCTCACCACCTTCTGCCTCTCAGGGCCTGACAACACGCAGAGACCCAGAGAGAAAAGGAGACACACGTATATAGACATATATATATAGACACAGATTGTGTGTATATATATATATATATAGACACAGATTGTGTGTGTGTGTATATATATATATATATATAAACACACACACATATGTATACACACAGACAAAGGAGAGCAACACACTCACATTCACACAGAGATACTCATGAACACACATGCATATAGAAGAAACACTCACACACACAAACTCACAAACAGAGACACACACACAGACACACACAAAGAGAGACACAGACAATCACAACAGTGGGGCCTTTGAATGAAGCCCATCTGCCGTTTGTGCTGCACTGTGCATAACGCATCCAGATCTACCCCACCTACATTAACGTCAGTTAAACAGCAAGAGGCCCGCAGGCCAGAAACTTAATTTGTCATGTAGGAGTGCCTTTGTAGCGGATTCTGTTGGCCCAGGTAACGATGAATATACTAACTGATCAATGTTGAAATGCAGCTACATATATTTACATTGAAACATGAGAGAGGGACACATAATCCAGGCTACTACCAAAGCTCGATTGATCTGCTGTAAAAGGGGGAAAGATCCCATGACACTGTTCTAAAGGAGAAAGGAGTTTCTCCTGGTGTCTTGGCCAATAATTCCCCAAATAAAATTGTCATTCCCCCATGGCTGCTTGTGGGACGTTGCTGTGCAAAGCTAGCTGCTCATCCACTTTACAGCATATCCTGTGAAGTCTTGATGTGAAGGTTCTATAGCAAATGCATGGATTATTAATGACAATCCTCGATCATGCCAGTAGCCACCTGGGAGTCAATAACTTGCATTTATATAGCGCACCTCACTGTGGTGGTATCCCAGAGAGTCAAATAATGAGTCCTGGAAAAGGACTTTGAAACTTTCACTGATCCATTCGCAAGTACAAGCTTAAATCAGTTGACCTATTAGATAGTATTTGAGTATTTGTACATCTGATTCTAACCACCAGCTGCAGATTTAATGCTTGTCGTTATGATTTATAAATGGAGTTTTAAAGAAATTGAGTGTTCGGTTTAAGTGCATAGAACCTTACATAGCATCCAAATATAGTATGTCTTTATACTTAGGACATCAGCAGAATGAAAATCTATTGCAAATTGCTTGGCACTGACTAAGCACTATGTATGGAGTTGAGGTACAGATCAGCAATGATCGTATAAAATGGTGGAGCAGGCTAGAGGGGCTGAATGGCCTACTCCTGTTTCTATGTATCGTCCTTTGTTTGCTCTTTTCAAAAAGAGTTATTTAGTATTATGTTGTCGTCACTAGTGCAATTTGTTGTAATGTTATCTCTGCCATAATAAAAACTCTCAAAGTTCCAGCATCTTGAATGTTCTGATCTGATTGACAGAATGGTTGCTATATGAATGATGTTCTTGCCTAATGATAATTTCTGGAATATTTAGATTAATTTGTCATTGCCATGGACATTTCCAAGACCTTTTTGCAGAGTCCACTACCAATGTTTTTAGTCGTCCATCAATGTTGCGTTTGTTGCTGACCATAATTGTTTTTGTCAAATACCTGAGTTGTAATTGATTTTTTTTACATCTCTTTCCTCTCCATCTGTCCCGTTTTCACCCGGAGGTTTAATTGAAGTCTCTTACTCTAGTGAGAAATGACTCTCTTTTGAGTTCTATTTGCAAACTGGTTTCAAACCCCACATTGAAACTTTTGAGCTACAGTCTAGGCTGGCACTCCAGTCAAGTGTTGGGGAAGCATTGTCAGAGGTGCCACTCTTCGGATGACATGTTAAACCAAGGTCCCATTTTGGGAAAGATGCTGTTGGATAATGTTGCTTATTTGCTCAAGGAAGCTGCCTGGGGCGTTGGGGAGGCTGTAACACTTTAAACAGCCTGTAAGTGAGTGACCTTATATGGCAACAGATTCATTATTAAATGCTGGAGTGTTGTGCAGACTCACTACCAGAACAGCTGTTTTGAAAGCATTCCCAGATAAATGCTATACTGTATCCAGATATTGTAAGATCTCATTCCACTTTAGGCATGGTGTTTAGAAAAGAGAAAATTGCCTTGGGTTATTAATTGGAATTGCTTAAAGTCTAAATTCACACTGCAATAAAACAACCATGTTCCATTAGGTTCTTTTCCTTTTTGTAAATTAATGGTTTTACATGCTATTATGAGTTCTGCAAAGTACATATTAATATTCAAAAGGACTTGCTGTAATTGGCAATAACTAGGGTATTTTGTAGACTTTAAAACTAGCATGATTTTGAAATTTAGATATTCTGCCTTGGCTTACGCTTCAGATTTTTACATGTATGGTATTTACTGAATAAAGTTCACAGTCACATTATTTAATGATTGCTGATTACAGCCAGTCCGTTTTTTTTATAAAGCTCTGTAAAGGGGCCAATTATTTCAAAAATAAACTTAATTTGGAGCTTTTAGTATTGTAACTACAGGTTCATATTCTCTCTGCTACAAAAGAACACCAAAGTGAATTGTTAAACTGCAAATTTCCATAAATGCAGGATTTGGTTAGTTAGAGACAAACACACTCAGAGACCCAGAGAGTCTCCTCCCGCAGTGACCTCGGGTAAAGAGCGCGAGCGGCCCACGGCCAGAAGCTGCATTTATGGGGGGTTTGTAGCAGGCGTGGGTCTTTGTTGCGGAAAAGATGGGACCTCATTTTTCTATTGGCCCAGCTCATTGGCAGGACTTAGAAGGGCAAACCAGTCACTGGAGGCAAGGAATCATCCCATTCAGCTCTCTTTAACCCTGGAAGCCAAAGCCCTAACGGATCGGGTGGCCCTAGCTGAACAAGCAGCGGGAAAGCTTGCGAGACAGTGATATCAATGGCAAGCCTTGCGGTTTTAGCTGGTTAGACTCCCAGAGGGCCCCAATGCACACTTGGATGGTTCCCACCAAAGAGAGAATAATAATAATAATCCTTGCATTTGATATAGCGCTTTTCACGTCTTCTAGACATCCCAAAGCGCTTCACAGAATATACTGTAAAGTGAATTGACTATATATTTGTGGGCGAACGCGGCAGCCAATTGAACTCAGGTCTCTCACTTGCAAAGCGAGTGCTCTAACCACTGAGCTACAGGACTCCACAAAATGCACATTCCATCAACCTATCTCTGGAATTTCGATGTGTAGATGGGATACATGGAATTCTCAGTTTTCCGAATGTGTCAGACACTCGGCTGACCAAGAAGTTATGTCACTAAACTGTTCTTGCTTGTGACTGAAATTGTTCATTTAAAAGATGAGGTGGACTGGTCATTTGTCAAGTAACATGATAGAAATTACTTAATTGGAATAGAATCTTGTTGTTTCTTCACATTTTCAGATTCCCTATCTTTACTTATTATAGGCAGCGTGGGATTACATCTGGGTAAATTTGTTGAATATAAATGCCATAATTTGCTAAGGAAATTTTTGGCTAGAGGTATGCAGGTTAGGAAATGTATTCACTGCTTTTAACAATAAATGATAATAATAATCCTTGCATTTGATATAGGACCTTATCACATCTTCGGGATGCCTCAAAGCGCTTCACAGGCGATACTATAAAGTGTAGAGACTGTTTTTGTGGAAGAAACGCGACAGACAATCGCTCATAGCAGTGACCCACAAACAGTCGTGAATTGAGTGACTATTATTCTTTTTTGGAGAGATTATTAGCCCTGGAAAAGCGATCTGCCAATTGACCAACAACCAGGTTCCTACTTACTGCTAACAGGACAATGTGTGTGGTGGGGTTGGGAGAGATCCATCTATACACAATACACAGAGGTTTCAGCTTGAGAGAAAGAGTCAGATGAGCCTTTGTTTCTGTAGTTTTGACATGACTGAAGTCTAGGGTGGGAACTTTCAGTAGATCATCAACACGCTGTAGAATAAAATTTTCATTTGAATACTTTCAGTGCTTCAGATGAAGCACCAATTGTTGTGGGAAGATCTTAAATCTTGATGCAAATTAACTGCAAACGTTATTCACCCTACAAACTTAGTCTACAGCAAATGATCTCTTGGCTTTTCCTGTTCTATAGGAAACTGCCCTTTGTGGTTTCCTCCCTCCCCATTTTTTCGAATTTGTCAAAATATGATAGGTGGATTGTCATTTTAATATAATAATTTTACTTAACGTGGCTTTACTCAACATGAATAACATTGATCTTAAGATTTCACCATCTCTTGGCAGTCGGGAGAAAATCAAGCTCAGTGGCTGTTTAATAGTACTACAAAATCATTTATTTGGAGTGAGTGGGAAATGTTTTGAGTTTTTGAAAGTGACAAACAATCCGCCGTTGTTTCTATGTACCATCATTTTGAGGTGACCATGGTTGCAGTTTATGTATTTTTTTTATTATAAGTGTTTTTTGTTTTTTTAAAAAAATCTGTTTTATGATCTCTACCCCCATAGATGATCTTTGTGAAAAAACTCAGGTAAGAGTGGTACTTTATTGAAACCTGGTACCTGTTTCTAGAGTTGGAATGTGATGTGCTTCAACAAGATCAATTTTGCATTTCATAACTTTTTATTGATTTTTTTAATCCTATTTTTCAGATGCATTTGAAGCACATCTTAAGTACGGTGCTGATCTGCTGCTGGACATGGCATGGACTTGCTCAATTAGGTAACTCCTTTCAACTAACAAAGCTTTTTCTGAAGTATTTAACAGATTTTAAATCTTCCTTAAAAACATTAATTTACCTATAACTGTACAGCACAGTACTTGTTTAACAAAACCTCCCTACATAAGAAATGCAAGACGAAAACAATAAAAACAACTTGGAGTTATATAGCGCCCTCCACCAAAAAAGTGCATCTAGTTCCCCTTCTACCTTCCTGGCAGTTGGCAAGCATGTCGCCTCTCAATTTTTTTTCCAGAGTGAACCTGCCCAACTTACTTAGTCACTCCTCATAGTCCAGTCCTTCCATTCCCTCCTACTCTTTGAGGCTTTCAGCTTGAAGGGTTGAGGACGTGCTTATACATGTCATTGATAAACAAAAGGTTAAGTAACAATCAACCCTGCCTTGGAGTATGTGACGCCTTCGAATACTACAACAACAAAATTACATTTATAAACGTCCTAAGGCGCTGGACAGTCAGGGGTCAGGACTCGAGCATGGGGGAAGGGTGAAGTAGGGCTGAGAGAAGGCAGAGAGGTGGGAGGGTGACTGAAGGCACAATCGAAGAGGAGGGTCTTGAGACCGGTCTTGAAGGAGGCAAGGGAGGAAGCGAGGCGAAGAGACTGTGGGATGGAGTTCCAGATTGTGGGGGCGGAGAGGCTGAAAGTCTAGCCATCGATGGTAGGTGGGGCGGGAATCATGGAGCAGATCGGAGCCTGCTGAGTGGAGGGAGCGGGTGGTTGGTAGGGAGTCAGCAGGCCAGAGAAGTAGGAGGGGGCAAGGGCATGGATGGCCTTGAAAGTGAGGACGCGGGTCTTGAATTCAATCCTCTGAGGGATGGGGAGCCAGTGGAGTCGGGCGAGGGTGGGAGTAATGGGGTCATAGAGCCTGGTGCACGAACTGCAGAGTCTGGGATGATCTGCAGCTTGTAAAGAGAAGAGTTGGGAAGGCCGATGGGGAGGGAGTTTCCATAATCGAACCTTGATGTTACAAATGTGTGGTTTCGGCAGCCTTTCAAGGTGAGGCAGTGGCGGAGTCTGGTAATGTTGCTCTGTGTGGCTTTTCTAGGCATGTCTCTTTGGAGCTTGTTCAACCCCAGAGAAATACTGGGGTCCTCATTCAATTCCTTCCGTTGGGATTGTTTTGTCAGTACTTTGGGTTGCTACTAGAACTTTTTTTTACACAGAGAGTTGTTACGGTCTGGAATGCACTGCCTGAAAGGGTAGTGGAAACAAATTCAATAACAACATTCAAAAAGGAATTAGATAGGTACTTGAAAAGGAAAAAATTGCAAGAGTATGGGGAAAAAGGGGGAAATGGGACTGATTGGGTAGCTCTTCCAAAGAACCGGCACAGGCACGATGGGCCGAATGGCCTCCTTCTGTCCTGTAAGGTTCTATGATTCTAGTCTAAGAGGTAACATTCCCAAGCACTTTATTGGGGATAGCCAGAATTAGCATACTGTAATGTAATTGTGGATATCCAGAATCAACATTTTTTCAAGCCTAGAATCTGCAATATCATTTTCAAGTAGTCATTTCTCTAGCACTATTAACTAATCTTTCCATTAAGGTAAGATTTTCCACATATGTAATTGTGGATATTATGCTGTAACATAATGTACCTTTTCCTTTGTTTGAATGAAAAAAAAACTCCTAAGAAACTTGATACTGAAATTAAAGAAAAAGTACAGGGATTCCTGTGGCATCATTGTTTCACAATCAAATTGTGCAATGTTTACCAAAGTAGTTTAGTATGGAAACAATATCATTCACTTCATGGCTTGTGGGACATTGCTGTGTGTAAATTGGCTGACATTGCACTTCACATTAAATTCTGTGAAGCACTTTAGATGTCTCAACAGTGTGATGAGGTACAAAATCAAATCATACTATTGCAGCTTTACTCTCCCCACAAAGAAGGGCAAGACAATACAATACTAAACTGAAATTGAGGGAAATATGACTTAACTAGTCAATTGTCGTATGCAAAGGTTGCACCTGGAGCTCTTCAGCTCTATATGTCAGGTATTGATACCATGTCTGATCAAAAAAAACTAAATGTAAAGTTCAGACTGACTTTCAGAATGTTAAGGTCACCTTACTAAGATATCTGTGCATGATGTAAAATTCTTCAAAGGGTGTTTTACCATTCCATTCTATAAATAAGGTTCATATTTATTGCATGAGTTTTCAAAGGGAGCATGAAAGGGCAGTTATTCTGCAGGCATACAAAAGTAAAACGTTTCATCAACACTTTGAAGAAAAATTAATTATAATTTGTATAAATTCAGAGTTGTATTCAGTTTTAGCTAGCCAAAGGACACATGGATTTAATCAGGTTTACACAAGCAATCTGAAATTTAATTTTTTTGGTAGATACTTCAATATTGTTACCACTTGAATTGGTGTGAATGGTGATACAATTTTTATGGTCTCAATTTGCCTTTTCATATTTCAGATATCAGTGAGTGTTTAAAAGCCAATGCAAAATCATGCGGGGAATGTATACAATCTGGTAGGAATTGTGGATGGTGCACAACATTGGTAAGTTCATGCATTCATTGTGATTTGTTTCTTTTGTCTAAACGTTATTGATAAAAAAACATTTCATATCTGTATGTAATGGTACATTATGGGTGAGTTTCTTCCGGGAAAAATAGCTGGAAGGCAGTTCTTTACTGGAACTGAAAATTGTATTATCCTGTACGTTTTCTTTAATTTCAGTATCAAGTTTCTTAGGAGTTTTTTTTCTTTCAAACAGCAACATGTTTTTGCTGGATAAAAAAAGTCAAGAGAGGTAAAAGAGAAGCTATTATTAAACATTTGGAGTTGTAATGTTTTCTAATTTCAATCCATTTGGAAAAACAATATGACCTCACTTACTTTATGATTAGCAGGTGTTCTTGTTTCCCCTCTTCTCTCGAAGCTTCTGACTAGTAACGGAACAATCCTACATGCACTACCTATCTTAGTAACTTGCACAAGTGACCATTCTTTTTCTGTATCTTAGTAACTATTCTTTCCTGCTATGATAAGCCTAATTACTAGATTTGGATAAGTCTTCTGCATTATAATTGTTAAATGAGAAAGCATATGGGGGAAAGGCATTGAATGGATTGCTCTCTTGACATAATCGATCAAATGGCCTTCTGTACTGTAAAGTACTATGATTCTATTTTACGAGCAGAATTTTTCAGTAAGTGAAGATTGGCAAATGAGTTAACTGTTTCAGTTTTACTGGCACATAATACATGCCTATGAGGTTTCAGCTTGCAAGACAGAAAAAGTAAATAGGTTTTAAAGCCAGAGTTTATTTACATGTAGGCCTTAATTTATTGCTTAAGTACTGTATATTGTGTTTTAATATTAAGGGTATTTAATTTAGTGGAAGTGCAAATGCGCAGGATATCTAATTCTTTGCTTATACGGTCAAACGCATGCACAACATGAGTGTGTGTCGCAGGGAGCTTTAGAAAATCGATGGTAGTGAAGGCTTGTAAAGGTCTACAGTTCTAAGAGATTCATCTACTTTTAATCTGTCAATTGTGAATTTATCTTCCTTTTTGTAGGACTTTTTGCAACAGGGAGAACCAAATTCAGCACGATGTGATGATATAGAATCGTTAGTAAAGCGAGGATGCAAAAAGGATGCCATCGAAAATCCTAAAGGCTCACAAAAAGTAGATGCTAATAAAAATCTGACTGGTCGTACAAGTGGAGGAAAGGTCAGGTTGGAAGATATTACTCAAATTCGACCCCAGAAGCTCACACTGGAATTGCGATCAGGTAATTCAACTGCAAATCTGGATGGTCTGTTTTTATAGATCTTTGCAGCAGAATCTTTTACTTCTGTGGAGTCCTGTAGCTCAGTGGTTAGAGCACTTGCCTTGCAAGCGAGACACCTGGGTTTAATTCCAGGCAGGGTGAAACCTTGGGCAAGTTTCCTTACTCCACACGCCTAATAATAATCCCTCCAAAACAAAACAATGATAAATTGGTCATTTTCAATCCACGACTGTTTGTGGGACACTGCTGTGCGCAATTGACTGCAGCGTTTCACCCACAAATACACGGTCAATTCACTTTACAGCATATTCTGTGAAGCGCTTTCAAACGTCTAGAAGACGTGAAAAGCGCTATATCATATCCAAGGATTATTATTATTCTGTATAAATTTGTGGTTCTGGATCAGAAACTAATGTAGAAAGTGATATACTTGGAATAGAGGCTTAGTTTCCAAGAGATTGGGTCACCAGTGCTTTAGTCCCATTTTAACACAGCATTTTTTTTTAACCCAAACCACTTATGGGGTCTCGCTGTATAGAAATAGTTTATTATACATGTATATGAAACAATGTTGTTGCTCAGTTGCCTTGCTTGGTGTATAATTTTATGGTCCCGACATTTCAGGAGCCATCATGTTTAGCTTGTGACTACTCATTTTGTCAGTTCTATTCCATACCACCAATTTATCCAAATATTTTTTATAAAGGTAAGCATGAGGACTGGAAAATTACATGGGACCCAAACTGCCTCTTTACATTGAACACAATTGCAACATGTGCTCTTTCACCATAATCTGCCAATCCCTCTTTCTCAAGACCACTTAGTTACCTCTTGAATATACTATAGTGGAATCATTGATGTCCACCTGAACAGAGATGTTTGTCTCATCTGAAGGATGGACCTCTGCCACACACACTCAAAAGTTGAGGCAGAATCCATAATGGTTTTAAAAAGTGGATTAGACAATTATTTGAAAAAGAGAAACGTTAAATGGTATGGGGGAAAGTAAAATAAATGGGGTAGCTTTTGCAGAGAGCTCGTGTGGACAAGACTGTCCAAATGGCTAACTTCTACCTAATACATTCCATGACAATAGAATGTCAAACTACATTTTGTAGATGCCTCTGCATTTTTTAATTGTTCTTTGGGGATATTTTATTTCCTCAGGAGAACCTCAGACCTTCCCACTGTATTTCAAAAGAGCTGAAGACTATCCCATTGATCTCTACTACCTTATGGACCTTTCCTTTTCTATGAAAGATGATTTGGAAAATGTAAAGAGATTGGGAACTGAATTGAAGAATGAAATGCAGAAGATTACTTCAGATTTTCGCATTGGTAAAGTTCTTTTTTTTTGCATTAAATTTAATATCCTGACATTTCCACCATGATATTTCATTCTTTGACAAACCTGCTCCTATTTAGGATTTGGTTCTTTTGTGGATAAGACTGTGATGCCATATATCAGCACAACTCCAGCCAAACGGAAAAATCCCTGCACAAATGGGGAAGAATGTACAAGCCCATTCAGCTACAAAAATGTGCTGCCGTTGACCAATGATAGTTCGATGTTTAATGATCTTGTCAGCAATCAGACCATTTCTGGAAATCTTGACTCTCCGGAAGGCGGTTTTGACGCCATAATGCAGGTTGCTGTCTGTGGGGTAAGTGAAATACATTAACAGAAATGCTTTTAAATAACAATCCTCGCATGTAATATAGTGCTTTTATCACATTGTTGAGATACCTCACAGTGCTTCACAGCATTTACTGTAGTATGTGATAACTCATATTTTTAAGATTCTAAAGGGGCTAGACAATATAGATCATGACAGGCTGTTTCAACTTGTCCAGAATAGTAAAACCAGAGGACATGGCTTGCGATTGAAGGGGGTAAATTCAGAACAAATGTATGCAAATACCATTTCAGTGAGCGACTAGTGAACCTGTGGAACAGGCTCCCTAGGGAGACGGTTGAAGCCAACAACAAAATTACATTTGTATAGCACCTTACACGTCAAGAGGATGTCCCAAGGCGCTGGACAGACAGAGTTTCAGACCCGAGCTGGCAATTGGGGTCGGGGAGGGTGGAGGTCGGGGGGAACCAGACACATTGAAAGCACGGTCGAAGAGGAGGGTCTTGAAAGGGGCGAGGCGGAGGGACTGTGGGATGGAGTATCACAAGATTGGGGGCAGAGTGGCAGAAGGCCCGCCCCCAATAGTGGGGCAAGCAAGGCAGGAGACGTGAAGCAGGCCGGAGCCCATTAAGCAGAGGAAGCGAGCAGGATGGTAGGAGGTTAGGAGGTCACAGAGGTTGGGGGGAGCAAGACCATGGAGGGCTTTGAAGGTGAGATTAGACAGTTTTTTTTAGGATATAATATTATGGGATATAGTACATAGGTAGATCGGGATATATGTGCATGTGACCGCCAGGAAGGTGACCTAGAACTACCTGAGTCTTTTTTCAACTAGCATTTCTTATGTTCTCTACATTTTGTAGGTGAATGATTCTTTACAAAGGATAGTTTATTTTAAATACTGAAGAAAAAGTTATTAACTGGTATAACATTTTATTTTGAAACCGGATTGTTTTGTTGGCGCTAACTTCCTATCTTGCTTGGCATGCCTTCAAAAATCTATAGCTAAGAAGTTTAAGAAGAAATGGTCTGCCTGAATTTTGCTAGCATCTTTATGTTTCTCTTTACCCTAGTAAAATTTGGTGTCTCCAAATTTGCAGATATAGTTGCATCATTTATTTTTTTAAACAGGAAAAAATAGGCTGGCGGAATGTCACCAGACTGCTTGTGTTCTCAACTGATGCTGGATTTCATTTTGCTGGAGATGGAAAACTGGGTGGTATTGTTCTGCCAAATGATGGAAGGTGTCACCTCAATACTCAGGGTCTTTACACAATGAGTGATTACTATGTAAGTTTGCTATTTAAATGAGTCACTGAATTCAGAAATCTTTTTGGGAGGGGAAAAAGTACAGCCTAACTTTAGACTATTTCAAGCTATTAAAAGGATTGAGTATATTGGAACACTTCTTTGACTTGTGCAACCTTTATTGAATTCATATAAAGGTATTATTTGAATTCAGATAAAGGTAGTACTTAATTGCACATTGCTTTGGAGCCCAGGCTCTGAATTGGGCACTAATCTAATTCAAAAGGATATTTATGCGAGAGGAATGAAGAAATTTAAGAAACTAATTTTGCCCTTCCTTCCTCTCCTGCTGTTTTGCCCGAGTTGCTTCTCCACGTGTGATCCTTGATAATATATTTAGGTAGGCTATTTCACCTACTGAAATAAACAAGCTACTCCTGTCCTTATTGTAAAATGGGTTGCTGGATAATGACCAAGGGTAGAAACTCTGCTGCAAGCTACAACAGTCTGTACTGAATTACCTGATCTCTGACCAGCCAAACTTTGGATCCTCCAATGTCTCAAAATGGTTGGTTAATACAAATCACCGAGGGTTCTTGTTTGTCATCCAGTTGCCACTGGAAAGTTCATGTGGGCTGAAAATAGGTTGGACTTGGTTATGTTGACCACCATTAATTGGGGTGTCTTGGTTCATGTATCAAAGGTCACTAACACCAATAAAGGCTCCTGCCTTTTGAACTATATATCACAATGGATCAGTGCCTTCAGCATGGGAGAATAAACAAAAATCAATGTTACCTTGTGTAAATGAGTTTTAAAGTTCTTTAACAGCTGCTTTTGAATGACTGGAAGTTGCATCTGTATCCCAATCATCATGATTATATCTAAAAATCTATCCCTACCATGCAGCCTTTTGCCCAAATGAGGATTCAGAATTTTCCCCCTCCCCTTTTACTACCAAACCCTTTTACTCAGTGGATTCTTGACAGTGATATTTCAGAAAATTGTGGACATTTTATTGGTAATGAACTATTTTCCTTTGTTAGGTTAGGAACCCATTTTTATTACATATTGGAACCCAATTTACTTATAAGAATGATTTTACTTTTTTATAGATTAAAACTTTGACTCCCCAAATACCTTGGATTTTGTTTTTTCAGTGGATGTTCTGAGAAATTTGAGTTAACTTCACAATTCAGTTTATAAACTATTTATAGCGTTAATATCGATTCTAAGTGCTCTTGGGAATTATTTTTTTCTCTAAAAAGATTGCTTTGTTCTGGTTATAACCAGTAATATGTTGTAAATGTGTTGCTGAATAAAATGCTTCAGTGGACTCTACAGTTCAAATGTACTTCTTCAGAGTGCAAATGGTAGCATTTTTCCTTGATGGAGGGAATCATTATAGATAACTGATATCGTCTACCTGTGGCTCTACTGCAGGAGACTGGTCCAGTGTGTCTTATTCCTTCCTGGGCTATGGTGGGTTACCCAGGTTCTGCTGTATGTTAGACTCGTCTCAAAGGGCCAAACTGTACTTCTGTGCGTAATAGTAATTGTTGATTGAGCTTTAATATTGTGGATCTTGCCTCTTTGGAAACAATCTTTAGAGATTGAGTTTTGTTTAATAATTCCAGGATTATCCATCCATTGCTCATTTGGTGCAAAAACTTGGGGACAATAACATTCAGCCTATTTTTGCTGTTACAGAAGAGTTCAAGGGAGTCTACAAGGTAAGAATTGTTGTATTTTGTTGTTGAATTAATTTCAGTTAATTTCAATCAGGTAAGGGGTTATCCACTATCACTTTAGTACAATGTATGGTTTTTTTTTAATGTTCAAGTGTTTCTGTATACTTGTATGATACACTAATGATTCCATCTGTAATCAGGCTCGCACACGATACAATTTTCACTGCTATTAAACCTCTTGATGCAAATATATCATATATTCCACACATACATTCATTGGTACAATTGTATTCCCCTTCTGCCTGTCACCTAAGTAATAGTTAAGGGGGTCAGGACCTATATCTGAAGAGCCCTCCACCCATTACTACAATATGTTGAGTGATGGCATTCTTGCCAGCTCTTCATTCACCTTCAGCAACTGGTGCAGCCTTACAAGGCATCCAACAGCAGCATTAAATAAATATTGTATGTGTATCTACAACATGCAGTGAATTCTAATGGTAGCTATCAACTGAAAACATTTGGGTCCACATTTTGCTTTTGTCACCATTTTCAAAGCAACCTTTTCTTTGGTCATATTCTAGAACTTAACCCATAAAATCAATGTGATATTGCTCCCTCCCATGATGTAATACTAATATCAAACAAAAGTTCATATTGCTGAACATGAGCCATTTGAATTCATCCATACCATGATGCAAAGTCTAGAATTGCTCTGTTTAGTGAATAGAATTTGTTTTAATTTTAAATACTTCTGATCTGAGTCTTAATTGTACCAATGTACCATCTGTTTCATAAATTAGTCATCCCAGCATCCTGTTATTCCTTTATAATATAAATCTTGCATTATATCTCCTAGTAATTTTTCAAGAATGAATTTAACATTCACTCTGAATTCTGTAATCCAGTTTGTACCATGCTTATTGCTTTTGGAAAGATGTATGTAACATATTAATGATGAGCAACTTCCTACTACAAGAATTCTATATAGAAAATGGAAATAAACCATTGTTGCTCTACTTCAACAGGCGCTCCATGATCTCATTCCAAAATCTGAAGTTGGAGTTTTGTCATCCAACTCCAGCAATGTCATTAAGCTAATCCTTGATGCTTATCATGTAAGTACTGTCTGTTAAAATAATGCTCAACTGCTTCAAAATCAGTTTGGCTTCCTTTGACATTCCAGTGCTTGCAAATGTAATGTTCTGTTTTTGTTATCCGATGCAGGCTTTATCTTCTGAGGTTATCCTAGAGAACAACAAATTACCGGAAGGGGTGACGATAGATTATATAGCCCACTGTAAGAATAATACTGTCTACAAAGGAGAAAATGGCAGAAAGTGTTCAGGCATTCAGATTGGTGATGCGGTAAGATACCTATGCCAAGTTTGGATTACAATTCAGTTAAATGAATTGCTCAACGCAGAAACTTATCAAAGCTGCTTTTTCAGTTTGCTTCCCACACAGTTAAATGGCCAACTTCTGGGTCATCGGATTGCCACCAATATCTTCCTGCAAGTATAAGGATGATGTGACAACCTGATGATCTGGAAGTCAGACTTTTTTTCAGTGTAGGAGGCCAGACAGTCTGGCAGCCATACTTGATTGCACTCGTTATAAGGAAGGATGGGATTTTATAAACTCCCACTGCCACATTCTAACTAGGTTCTATTGTATCAGATTTCTTTGCTGAACAATTTAAGATCTCATTCAATCACTTCCACATAACGCAGGTCTAGCCAAGAGTTCATGCTCTAAGATAAGCTATATCATGCTGTATAACTATGAGACTAGAGATGAAACCAAGATCGTTTTTTTTTTAAAAAAATTGGTTGATATCTCTCTCTTCCCCTAACCCATAAATAGTTGAGATTAGAACTGATTGTGTTGGATATTGATAGAGATGTGTCAACTACTTCTTGCACAATGTGTTGAGGGTATGTAGAGAACGGTGCAAAACTATTTAAGATGTGTAAACCAATAAACTTTTCTTCCACCTCCTTAGGTGAGCTTCAACATAAGCATTACAGCAAGAAAATGTCCAAGTAAAAGAGAAACAACCATTGAAATCAGACCCCTTGGTTTCACGGAGAAGGTTGAAATTACTCTGAAGTTTATTTGTGAATGTGAATGCCACAATTCTGGAGTTGTTGATGAAGAAAAGTGTCATAATGGAACATTTGAGTGTGGAGCATGCAGGTAGGTTATCTGCATGTCCAGTACTAGTTTAATAAGAGGTGTGTATGTTGATAATATTAATAATAATCCTTGCATTTGATATTGCGCCTTATTAAGTCATTGAGCCATCTCAGTGCTTCACAATGTATTGTAAAGTGGATTATTTTGTGGGTGGAATGTATGCTTATATGTATGTGTGTGTATATACACACATATATTGTTTTAAGTGTTTGTACTTTGTAGGTAGAATTATTTGTGAAAATGTTCATGATATCAGTGAAGAGGAATTGATTTGGGCTGTAATTTAGAAATCATTTAATGCTTTGCAATGTACATCTCAATATTTGAACTTGTGACGTTTTGGGGGAAACTGTTTTAAAATAGAGACGACTCGGTGGAGCACAGTTGTTCATTGGATAGTTGTGCCATTTTCCATCTTTGTTTAGGGTGGAGGTGGGCACAATTCCTGAAGGTGATGGTTTTGTCAAGTTGTGTGTGTTTACTGTCACTGGTTGTAAAAATGGACTGTTTCACTTTCAGGTGTAACGAGGGTCGCATTGGTCGAATGTGTGAATGCAGCACAGATGAAGTAAACAGCCAGGATATGGACGCTTCCTGCAGGAAGGACAATACATCTTTAATTTGCAGCGACATTGGAGATTGCGTCTGTGGAGAATGTGTCTGTACAAAAAGGGAAAATCCTAATGAAATCGTCTCAGGCAAATATTGTGAATGTGACAATTTCAACTGTGACCGATCCAACGGCTTAATTTGTGGCGGTAAGTACATGATGTAATGAATGACCTGTTTTAGGTTTTACGTTTACATTTGTGATTAATGGACATTTGTTTTCATAATGTGTTTATACACATTTATAATTCACCAGTTCTTGAAATCCATTTGTGAAATTTAAGCTTGTATTGTGTATTAAGCAGCCAGATTGATTCAGTCTTAATGTTTACGTCTTGAAGTGGATGTCATTCTGCCTTAAAATCACGTAACAGATGCATAAAGTTTCTTAATTTAGTCTGAAAGAAAGTGGGACGAAAACCTACACATTGTGGTGATAACCCAGGTATTGTTTGGCTGATTAGGTTTCTGATTTGTCTTTTGTGTGTGTCTCCATGTTACTTGGTAGCTATTAAGCCATATAGATAGATCATAATGCCTGGCTTAATCCACCATTTTATTAGATTTTGGCAGAGCTTGTAATCATGTTTCCCAGTTTTTTCTCCATGACCCTTGCACTCTGAGACACTACATCACATGAAGGGTACAAAATAAATTAAAGTTATCAATACCTTTACTTCCCAAGTTTCTATTTCTCTCCCTTTTTAAATAACTCAAATCATTTCTGCACTCAGTGCATCCCACATTTTCACAACCAATTGTTTCCTTTTAACCAGCTTTGTTCAAATTTTAAGATGTTGTTGAATTGCATTAAAGAAGAAGGTCAAGTTAGATCATCTGAGCTGAAGTAGAGAAACAGAATTTCTTAGCTCTGTTTTATCAATGATTTTTTTTTAAGTGCTACAGAATGATTGTGTGGCTAATAGATTATATGAAGAAAAATATGTTAAATAGTAATTGATACACAATGCAAGATATTGCTAAACTTTTTAAATGATTCATCCTTTTCTGAACATTAGACACTAGTAATAGTGTGGTTGCATAATGCTGTATTATAAGCTACATCCTCACATGATCTTGTCAGATGCAAAATATTTAATTCCTAATGTTGGCTACTTTTCCTCCCCAACAGTCTAGTAGATTAGAGGTAAAATGAAGAATTCCTGATAGAGTTCACTATAACCAGCAACACCGGATCCTACTCTGCTTTCTAACCTGGATAATATGAGGAGAAAAAAATGTTAAGGAAACTTAAGAAATAAAAGACAAGGTTATAAACGTAAATCTTGTCTTTTTGCAGGGAATGGCATTTGTAAGTGCAGAGTATGTGATTGCTTCCCCAACTTCACAGGCAATGCCTGTGATTGCTCATTGGACAATTCAACGTGCATTTCAAAGAATGGCCAGATGTGTAATGGCAGAGGAATGTGTGATTGTGGTCGCTGTAAATGTACAGATCCCAAATTTCAGGGATCTGCTTGTGAGATGTGTCCAACTTGCCCTGGAGTCTGTACGGAGCACAAGTAAGTAGCCAATTGACTGAGGAATATAAGTATGTAAATAGAATTTGAAAATTGTTTTAACCTTCTTTCTTGGAAAGCTAATAACACAGTCTTCAGGAAGTAACAAGCTAACAGCTAATACAAAATTGCATGAATACATTGTGTATTTTTCCAACCACCCTCAAGTAACTTTTTCAGTGATCCAAGAGGTCTGACGAAAAATGTAAAGTGGGCTGCAGTTCCTCCTTTGTCCAAAATGGTGCTTCAAGCAGTAATATTATTATTATTGTTGTGAAAATGCAGATAGTCAAAATGCAGCTTCACTTTTTTGTTGTGGGTGTTCACCTACAAAATACACTTGCAGGACGTTTTTGGTACCTTCACCCATCTAGTAAGGGATCAAACCTGCACTTGTCGGATATCAAATGACAAATTTGACTATCAGTGATTATCCTCCTTGTCGGGGAGTTAAGTGCGAGCTCCTTGGAGCTGAACTGGCAATGGAATGTCGGAATTGAGCCAGCCATCTGTAGTGGTCTCGGTAGTCCAGTTCCTAAGCCAGGTGGGCCTGCAGTATTCCAGGGTACTGCTAACAGCACAGCCTGGTTCCTAAGCAGTGCTCGGAAGGGCAGACAATTACCGGGGGCAGGGAATCATCCCCTCGGCTTCTGTTAACCCTCCAAGCCAACGCCCTAACGTGTAGGATGTCCCGAGCTGCATGCCAGACAGACGGTGCTTTCGATGGCAAGTTATACAATTTTTAGTTGGTTGGACGACAGCAGTAACCCCAACAAACACAGAGCATAGAAAATTGAAAGGAAAACCAGCAACTGCTAAACATCTTAAATTAAAAGGGAATAATGGGTTGTCGATTTACTAAGATTCTACATTAGACTTTTTGGAATTCTCTACATAAAATAGTATCGTAAAGATGGCAATAAATGTGTAAAAACAATGTTCCTTTTTAATTTGTTTATTTTATTGGCTGCTTTTTGTGGTTGCATTGGATTTGAAAGCGTGTACTCTCAGCATAATAGTTCAGTTTAACACTGACCAACACACTAATGGTTTTATTAAAATTGATACGTTTAAAAAAAACACTTGCCTGTTCATCTGCTGTTTTAATTTGATTCTCTGTATATTAAATCTTTCATATCTTGACCTTCCTGTTTGGTGCATGTTAACTCTTTCATTACCTGTGTGCACAGGGACTGTCTTCAGTGTAAAGCCTTTAACAAAGGACCCAAGAAAGATACATGTGATCAGTGTGAGTTTGAAGTTATACTGGTAGAACGCCAAGACCAGCTGCCACAGCCAGGCCAAGTTAAGTCCATTGCTCATTGTAAGGAGAAGGATGAGGACGACTGTTGGTTCTACTTTTCGTACTCTGTTAATGATCAGAATGTCCCAGAAGTACACGTTACTAAAACTCCAGGTAAGCACTTTGTCGTGTATTCTGCACACACAGTGTGACTTTCCTAACCAAAGGCAAAATGGGCAAAATTAAAATGCTACCTAGTTACTCAAACGCTAAGTCTAGTTCTTGAGCTTTTTTACAAAATTATGCTAATTTATTAGAACTTTGTACAATTCTTGCCATGAAGTGGCAGATGATTCCAGATCTTGGCTTTATAAGTCCAATTAAGAGCTTGGCTTCTAGTTGTCGAGGATCTATACCTTCAAATATAACTTCTATCCTTTTAGTGTACTGTTGGTCTAACAGGTCAGTTAAGCACTCCCACAGAGTGAGTTCTATGAGTTGTAGAAAAGTGGAAACGCAGCAGGCATTGCTCCACAGGGAAGAAGGGCTAAAGGAACAGTCATCTTGCACAATACCCAGCCTCTCTATGTAATGACGGAACATATTTGCAGTTTTCTAATTACTTATACTCATGGTAAGCTTTACACAGATACTTCAGAGAACTCCCAAGTACTCTTCATTTTTTCTTCATTTTTACTCATTCCTTCTTTTCAGAGCCATTATTGTTCATGTGTGAATTTGGTAGTGAGTGGCTGCTGGCCAACTAACCTTAAAGGATGTCACAGCTGTTAAGCCTGGCCATGCCTGACTGGTTTTCCACCTTGGGAAGCCTGGGGCCAATTTAGCCCCCCCATGTATCTGTACCTGAGACAGGAAACTATAACTGTGCTCTTGATTGCAGAGCTTCTGATGTATTTGATTGTGGGTTTAAGAATGACTTTCTTACTGGGCCTGGGGTTCTACAGGATAGTTTGTCAACCAATTAGCTACTTAATTATAAACAAAGGCAGGAAAGTATCTGAAAATCAGTGCCCTGGACAGGATATCTCGCCTGCAAAATATACAAACAATTCACTTTACAGTATATTCTGTGAAGGCTTTGAGACGTCTCAAAGAATTCATAAAGCACTATATCAAATGCAAGGATTATTATTTATTATGTCTCAACAGCTTTGCTTTATCCTTCATTGTTGCAGTTGGGAAACCATGGCTCTCTTGTAGAATCTCAACTTATAGCTACATGAGGACTCTTAAGAGCATAAGAAGATAAGAAATAGGAGCAGTAGTAGACCATTCGCCCCTCGAGTCTACCGCCATTTAATAAGATCATGACTGATCTTACCTAATTCCATTTACCTGCCCTATCCCCATATCCCTTAACATTTGGAGTCCTGTAGCTCAGTGGTTAGAGCACTCGCTTTACAAGCGAGAGACCTGAGTTCAATTCCAGGCAGAGGGCGAAACCTTGGGCAAGTTTCCTTACTCCACACGCCTAATAATAATCCCTCCAAAACCCAAAACCAATAATAAAATTGGTCATTTTCAATCTACGATTGTTTGTGGGATATTGCTGTGTCCAATTGGTTGCCGCGTTCGCCCACAAATATACAGTCAATTCACTTTACAGTGTGTTCTGTGAAGCGCTTTAGGACGTCCTCCTGACGTGAAAAGCGCTATAACAAATGCAAGGATTATTATTATTAGTAGTTTTTTTAAAAAATGCATTTTTGATACTTTTTTTGAGACAGAAATATGTGGAATAATAACCTAAATTCTCCCGTCAGAAAGCATTATATTGAACTATTGACAGCACAGAATAATTAAAGAATCCCAATCTCTAAGTAAAATAGAGTGTAAATAACTGTAAACCAACGCTGAGCAAGCCAGTCAATGTTTAGGTACTATGGAATTAAAATTTATATAGAAATGTTTCAGTGTTCTAGTTAATATGAATCAGAAGCATAACAAGGCGTTTATTTTAATGTTTTCTCTTTAGAATGTCCACAGGCACCTGACATCATTCCAATTGTAGCGGGTGTGGTTGCTGGTATTGTGCTCATAGGCCTTGCCTTGCTGCTGATCTGGAAATTGCTGATGATCATTCATGACCGAAGGGAATTCGCAAAATTTGAAAAGGAGAAGATGAATGCCAAATGGGATACAGTAAGTCATTTTGCTGTCTTATTTGGAAACTATTGAAATACTAGCATAGCTCTAGTTATTCCATGCAATTTATAAATTTATTGATGCAAAAAAAGGTATATCCATGGCCTTCCATGAATATACTGTAAAACTGTTCTCCATACAGTGTTTCAATGCTATCTTCACTGTAGTAACAAACTGGCAATGTGCCCTAAAATGATATACCGGATTAACAAATTCCATGATTTCTTCAAACAATGCTTTGTGTGATCTACAGGAGCTTGTGAGCACTTGATTTTTTTGGTCAACCAGGTGTATAACATCTGTGGAAACCCATCACCATCCTTAAATTTCCAGTCCAAACTGATCAGTTCCACATATGTATTTTCCATTTGTACCCTCTCCCCAGAAGAGTTTGCAGTCCTAGAGAGGTTAGGCACTTGTTGAGAACACCGGTCTGAGGTACTACTGGAGTGTAACCAGCTAAATCTTTCCAGCTTACAATTGTAAACACTGCAAGCTTTTCCAGCTTGGACCACCGTCCCCATTAGGGTTTCAAGGGCTGGGGAATCAGAACTAACAGAAGCCAGGTGGAAAGTATCCCAGTCCCCAGTAACTGATCTGCTTCTCTAAATCTTGCTAAACGAGCCAAGGTGTCCAGTCTGTCTTCAACTGTCTGAATTACTGTGGAAGTGTCCAGTTTGAGTGCTAGACCACTGAGACCACAAATGGTTGCATCAACGGATTCCAATCTTCAGCTGTCAGGCAGCACATCTTGAAGTTAACTCATCTTCTTTCCTTGCAACGTTAGTTCATACATGAGTTACTAGTTTTCATCTGAGTAAAAACTCAAGACTTCATTGATCATTAGTTTTCTTAAAATGTAGTCACTCAATTCATGTTTAGTTTTGGTTGAATGTAACGTATTTAAAAATGGAACGAATTGAATTCTAATATGAAAATGAAATATGCTACTGTCACTTCAATTTGCAATTGCAAATTGTAATAAACATAAATCTAATTAAAGGATATCTAATTTGGTAATTTGCTTACAATCAAATTACTACTGTATCGATAAGCACTGAATAGTTTTAGCACGTGAGCAGTAAAACATTTGTCCTTTTGCGTAACTTCAAGTGAAAGTGAAATTTCAGCCCAAATGTGTGCAGGTGAGAGATTATCTGAAATACTAAACTGAAGCTCTTCAGGTCAGTTCCCCGGCACTGCCTGTCTCTTCTCTTTCCTTTTTTTCCCTAAGCCAGAAGCAGCATGAAAACTGTATAGTATCATCACTCCTGTAAAGGAATTTTTAAAAATGCAACCCCTAACTAGAAATCAGCTCATATTCTATACCCTATAAAATTGCAATTCTTTTCACATTTGGTACTAGAATATCAGGTAGTGTTTGTCAGAAACTTGGAAAAGGGTGGCAATTGTGATTAAGTCCCTTTTAACTAATTTTGAGCCATCAGTCCCAGTTTCTGCAAATGGTGGTTGCCTTAACTCTATAGAAGATATAAATAGTCTTTCCTTCCGGTCTTAAGTTTTAAACGTGCAGCTTGCTTGTAGAACAAGTGATATGGCAAATTCTAATGGGTTTCCTCAGTAAGCAAACCGAGTAGAGATTCTTTCTGTTAACTTGGAAGTACAGTACATAGTATTGTCTTCTGAGAATTCTGCTCCGGATTTCATTGGAATAGAGGTCATACAAATGGGGACGACCTACTTCATTTTCCTTATTAAAGAGTCACATTAGAAATTGCAGTAAATTTCAGTTCATTGCTGACCGTTTTTTCATTCCACCTCTACTTTTCTTCTCCCTGTAGCAAGAAAATCCTATTTACAAGAGTCCTATAAACAAATTCAAGAATCCAAATTTTGGACGTAAAGCTGCTCCTCTCTAAATCTGTTTGTATCTCTCTCCTTTTCTTGCATGTGATTTTCTTTGCTTTACCTGCTTGTGCATTCTTAACAGTGTAGTGACCGAAGACTTGCCCTATGAGATTTACATGGAAAATGGAATGTAATTAATATTAATGCTGTGCAACATCCACATTTTATACAAATTAGTTTGTTGGCCATTCGGATTGAATCATGAATGCAGAAGGAGTAACCAATATCAATTATTTAAACTAAAACATTATTTACTTACGCCAAGATTTTCCCAAGTATTAAAAACTTGCATTTTAAAAACATCATTGTTACATTTTCCTTCTGGAAACAGCAGGACCTTTTACTGTTTCAAAATTCTTATGTACACAAGAGCATTTTTGAGTGATTACTAACTAAGCTGTTTGTCTTCGGGCTACAAGATTTGGTTTCAAGTTTAGCCTTTTTTAGTGTTTTCTTCAGTGGTGCTTTGTTGAATTTTCAGCCCATTTATCGGAGTGTCTGCTTGATGTGTTTTTTAAACTAATCATGGTAGACCTTAGTTGTGTTTGAGCTGCTATCCATAGTAGCGCCTCATTATAATGTGGTAGTTTGAGTCCATAAAAGTAGACCCTGTGTTCTATAGCCAACCCATTAGAAAAGCCACCGTTTAACACTTGCAGGTTATTGGGTTGCCACTGACGTCACCAAACTTCAGTGGGCGGGAAGGAGAGTGATAGGATATCTTTAAAACAAGCACTGTAACATACAACAACAAAACTACATTTGTAAAGCGTCTTTTGTGTCGGGAGGATGTCCCAAGGTGCTGGGACATATGCCTCCCAGCAACCAGATAATTGTGAATTACCTGGGGGCAAGTTACCTACCCTCTGGTTACAGAGGCGTGTAGCTCACCTTTAAAATCTATATAGATAAGTCACTGACGTAGCCTCACCACACAGAGGGGAAGCTATGCCTTACATCTGAACTTGATCCTGCTCTCACTCATTTCCACACACAAGCACTGGATTATCACTGGATAATCAAAATTCCTGTTGATCTATTATTAAACCCAGTGGCTAAGATCAGTTATTGTTAACTTTATTACTTGATGCTTTTTCTTACCCCACTGCATTAATAACCATGCTAGTTAAGACTGATTGTATAGGTTTGTGTGCCAGAACTATATGTTTACAATCTTAAAGCATGTGAACCCAACTGTTTTAATTTACTACTTCGTGGAACTCCCAATAATGTTGCATGACCATCTTTTGAATAGCGGAATCTAAATCAAATGCTGATCTGTTGGTAATGTGCTGTGAGTTCAAACCTAAAATAATAACTGAATGAACACCTCAAATGTATATCTTTTTTATTTTTGTGTAATTTCTGCATGAAATGTTCATTTTAAAAGTGAATAATGTAGGTTGCTGGGTGAAAATGTTGTTACTCAGAGTAACTATTTTAGCTGTGGAATAGACAGCATAACCGATACGTACATTATTCATAAGGATACACAAAGTATCTAATTTCTTGACAAACCTTACAAAATTTAGCATATTTAAACAATTTAGTTAAAATGTTCATGGAAATTCCAAAGCATACTGTTATTACATAAGAATTGCCTTTAATGGGGCTGGAATTTAGGGTGCTTATATTGGTGTTCTTGGAGGAGCCTGTTATATGTGCAGAATAATGCCCTGAAATGATGTCATTAGAATTCCCAATATCTATTTGTCCTAACACATTTACAAAATCACATCCATCCACTGCAGGGAATAACAGTAGTAATATGAGTGTGCTTATAAGAATATAAGAATTTGCTAGACAAAAGAAGACCAAGGTCCATCTAGTTCAGTTCCATCATCCTGGCAAGTCGCTTGACATGTGTCCCCAACTATATGCTGTATTTATTACTTCATAATTTTATACACTTCGATCAGATCAACCCTCAACCTCCTGAACTCAATCCATGTTTTCCATTCTTTCATCATAATTTAGGCCCTTGTCACCAGGAATCATTCTAGTAAATCCACGCTCTCAAATTGGATTGTTAAATTGCTCATTCAGCTAGTTGAACAGCATTGTACGCCTTTGCTTTGAATTTTGTCTTTATAAATGTATGACCTTTTCTGAAACCTTTGGGGGATTCTGGTGCTAAAACTTAAAGTGGAGTTTAAGAGTCAAAATATTTAGCTAAATACACACCCCTTTCTCATAAAGCCATTGAATTTCAAGATGGGTTACACCACTGTTTAAAGCAATACTTTGCATTGAAAATTCAATGTTTATAATATGGCCAGCACTATTGGAGGTGGGGGTGGATGTCATTGTCCATCACTAATAATTGTGCACTTGATTGTTTGAATTTTTTCCCTACCAAATTGCCCAAAAATCTAGAGATCTAGAAAGTTGTTATTATTTACCATGGGTGGATTGTAAAAATTCAGTCTCTTCCAACTTTGATGAAAAATGATACTAGAAAATAGTGATAATTCAAGCCTTAAAAGGGAATTGCAGGGCAGATCTAAGAATGGAAGAACTGGCACAAAAAGTGAGAGGTCATTGGGTGTTAGCTCTAACTTCAAGCCATCACACAACTTGTGCCAAAGGGAAAATTGTTCCATTGGTTTGTATTTATATCTGTAAATTAAAATAATTCTTCTTTTTGTGTTTCTGAAGTCTTCAGTGATGAGTAATTTGGGCTCTGCGTTCAAATGATTATAACGAGACAATAAAAGTGAAGTAAGTCTTTAATTTTTTTTGGTCAGCCGAGTGTCTGACACATGTGGAATTCCATCACCATGCTTAAGTGTACCTGGCTGACCGAAAAAAAATGTTATTGGGCCTTGTAATGCAAAGCTCAGCTTGTAACATTTCAGAACCCATGTATTCATTCTTTTTTTCCTTTCTAGGGTGAAAATCCAATCTACAAGAGTGCTGTGACGACTGTTGTCAACCCAAAGTATGAGGGCAAATGATGGAGTTTTATGTGCATATCTTTTGAGGGTTCTTTTGCATTATGGAAACTGTATGGATAATAGGGTTTTTTTGTTTTTGTAGCCACAAATTAGCTTTAGATCACTTTGCTGTGATTTACTAACAGACAGTGTAAGTTTTTCTATGCAGATTTTGAAATGTGTGTACAGTATGTGTAAACAAAGATTGCATAATGTTTTTAGAACTTAAGTTGAATGGGGTGCAGAGTGGCTGTAGAATGAATTGTGATTATTTCAATGATGGACAACTTTCTTTTATTTTTTTTTTACTTTTCTCTGGATTTTGGCCATCCAAAATTACTGCATGAATTCTCAAGTCAGTATTGTAAACTGGGTAAAGTTTGAAAGCAGGAGAAAAAAAATCATTCATTTAATGTGCCAAAACGAACACTTTGGAGTAAATTCTACATTGATCTGCCAGTGTGCATGTAAGAGTTCTGCAGAAGAGAAAATTGATTCATACATTATTTGATTGTAAACAGCTGAAAAATTCAGATATCTGACAGTTAAGGTCACATTGTGTCTTATAAAACCCACGCCCAGGTGTCTTCTTACTGCCTATTAGAATAGGACAGTTGAGCATTAAGTATTGCAACTGTATTAAACTTGTAACAGAAATTTACCTGAATATATACATACACTATTTTGCCAAATGGGGACAGCCTTATTTAATTGTAAATGAACTCTGCCAAATCATGACAGATCAAACTTGGTTTTGATATTAATTGCAAGTCTATCAGTATATAATTTTGCGAACTTTTTAATGTAAGTATTTTGTGCAACCACTAGCCATTAAGTTGTTGTATTTGCCGACATAACCATTTTTTCTTTATTTTTCAATCAGTTACTGTTAAACTTTTAGACAATCATTGGGACAGTCCCTCATGCCTAATGGATCAATAGTACTAATACATCGTATTTAGTTAATTAGCTACGTGCTGGAAACAAGTGCTGTAGTTTGCCATTTTTTCTGCCCTAACCTATCGCCTACTTCACTCAGATCACATTCTTGGTTTAAGTGCCTTTTTATTTTAACAATATTTTCGCTATTGCCATACACTTTACTGGAGTTATTTATTAAATAAAAACTTTGTAAAAATTACTATTGCTTGTCTTTCATTCTACCTTATTTTTTTATACTTTTTGCTTCTTGTTTGAGCCATCATATGCAAGTGCCCATTGATGTCACTGAACTTATTAAAAGTGCTGCCTGAAAAAAATAGATTTGACCTTTTTGGTTTGGGCCCTTTTTTTAAATTGAGGCTGTTTCATTAATCTTCGCGTGCGCATCTTGGCTGCCAACCTGAGCCCCCAACCCCTGAAAATACTGCCCCTTCTACTCCCCACCCTCCGCTATTCCCAATCAGTCCTCTCTCCTGGACCACTCACTGCTCCTTTTGCACCAGCTTTGGCATCCTCCACAAGCCCATCGTGCCTCTTGGCGATGGTTGTCCCAAGCAGTCACCATCGCCAACTCTCTCTGAAACAGATGCCCACCCCCCCACCACTTCCAAAAGGCAAACAACCCTTCTCTCATCCACATCCTTACCCTTCCCAACTCTCTTTCTCTCCGCCCCCCCCCCCCCCACTTCTCTACAGACATTTTCTCCCCCATAGCCCAAAACCTACCCTCCAAAGCCCACCTCCACCAGTGCACCCATTCGCATTTCCCTCCAAAATGTCCGTATCCTCTCCAATAAAGCCCTTGCAATCCATGACCTCATCCTGGACGAACATATCAACTTTCTTGGGCTCATTGAAACCTGGTTGCCCCCCCCCCCCCCCGTGTCCTTGTTCTCCTGATCAAAGTTATTGTTATCCTTCTAATGGATAATTACATATTTAATGGGAATGTTTATTAATTAACATTGTCTCCTTATTCTTCTATCTGACGGGGTCTTTGAGGTCCACAGTGCGGAAGCAATGAAACCAATTTCCTCATCCAAATTGTGCTAAGATTTCGCGAGTGCTAGTGAACTGAAGTAGGCTGTTTGACTCATTAATAAAGTGGAATAAACTGCCTTCTATTCTCAGGCCATTCTGGAGGCCAAAAATAACACCAAAGTGCTGTTCTTCACTCATCACCTCCTCCACGTACCTTCTCAAGCACCCTTGATCCTCACATCCAGTGCCAAGTACGAAGAGATCCTAGACTACTATTGACTCAAAGACAGATAATCAGATAATATCTGCCTAACAGCCTCCTCCCGCACGTCCCCTAACACCCACTCCTGTCATGGCTCTCACCACTGTCTCCACCCTAGAATCCTTTGCCCCCATTTCTCCTTCCTCTCAACCATCATCATCCACATAAGCCCACTACTTGCTGCCTTGAACCCCTCCCTGCCTAGTTGCTGGTCACTCAACTCCTCCTTCCTCTCCCCCCTGCTAGTAGACACCATTAACCAGTCCACTCTCCTTGGGCTTTGTCCCACTACCCCTCAAAATCTAAGACTTGCCAAACTTGTATGTAACATAGATGTCAGGTTCGATTAGCTATTTTTTTTACTCCACATCCAGTCCCTAATCAGGACAATTTTCCTCAACCTTTGTCACATTGCCTGCTTCCAACCTTACCTCGCACCCAATGCAGATGAGATCATCGTCCACCCTTTTGTCGCCTCCTGCCTCGATTAGTCCAATGACCTCCTCACTGGTCTCCCCATCTCCACTATTCACAAAACCCAACTAATCCAGAACTTCCTGACTATACTCCCATGTTAAACTTTGTATCCCTTTCACCAGGCTCCACTGGCTCCCTTTCACAGAACGAATCAACATCCTATGTTCGGCTGACTCCGGCCCACATGCTTGTCCCTCGTTCCCTCTGGTACACCATAAGAGTCTATGCTTTTGGCAATTGCCCAGAAGCTTTAGAACCCTCTCCATCAATCCCTCCACCTTGCCCCCTGTTTCCCCTTTTTCAAATCATCATTGAAGACCTTCTTGGACTGTGCTGATGGTCACCTCCACCCTCCCCCAAGCTCGGCGTTGGGCTCCGTTACTGTTGAGCGCTCTGAGACACTACCCCGAATGAAGGGTGTTACGTAAATGCAAGTTGTTGTTGGTATACTGGTATCAAAATTGCCTGATAGGGTGAATGTAAGTGGCTGCTGCTGTTTCCTGTTGTACAAATTACATTTGTATAGCACCTTCCATGTCAGGAGGATGTCCCAAAGTGCTGGACAGTCAAGGATGTGCACTTGAACTGGGGGTTGGATGGCTGATCCCATGACATCTTCACCAGACAATCAAACTTTGGTCTCCATGGCCCTAAATAGTGATTTTACTGTAACATCAGTTTAAAATAACTGCTGTAATAAGCTATTGTGTTCAGACATTGCTACTTTATTATAACAGACTGTCTTTGAAGATATTTCTCCATCAATGTCAATCCTCAGCTCTACACTGGCTGGAAATCCCCTGGAAAGCGATTCGCCAATCGACTAACAACTGGGTTCCTACTTACTGCTAGGTGTGTGGAATAAGCAAACAGGTTTTGCCCTGCCTGAGAATGATCAAAGTGGATTTCTCCACACCCCGACATGGAAATTTTACAGATTAGTGGAATCTGCTTTCCCTCAACTCTTCCCAGAGCTAATAAATGTACCTTGTTACTGGACACCAAAGTATTTTGTGCTTTATTTGATAGTACTCAGATCAAATCAGTTAGTTTCCTATGCTAGCACAAGGGCCTGGTGACTATCTTGTTTAGCTTTCAATAGTGCAGCAGTCAAATGCAGTTTTAATGTGATGACACCCCAGTGTAGAAGAGAAGCAAATTGGGAACTGACAAGTAAATGATTCGATGGGACGTGAACAGTGCATTGATAAAGAGAATGGTTATCTCTGGTTAGCGCTCTAATTTAGGCAACCTCTCTTCCTTCTGCAATGCATGCAGGTTAAATCAGTCATGAATGAGTCCAAGGTATGGGATGCCTGAAGGAACCGATCGATTTGTTAGTTTACTGATTGCAGCCATCCACGCCTCATTCAATATTTGTCAGCAGGTGGCCCAAACTGATGCTCTGATCAAACTAATGCTGCAATCAAACAATGTCTCCAGGCATCTGCCACACCAGATGGATATCTCCTTGTGTTCACACAGCACTTTTGGAGCATTATTGGTGTTGCAGGAATGTGAAAATGAATTCCTGATTGATGCTATAATCATTGTACAGTACAGTTTGATCTGGTCAATTCCTTTTCTGCAGTCTTTACATTTCCCTTTCAAACAGTGCTTTATTGTTGTAGCTGTTTATCCAAGAGTGTTGTACATTGTCAGAAAGAATCAAAAACAATTTGAAGGATAGGACCTCCAGCAATGCGGCGTTTCCCCAGCACTGCATTGGAGTCTCATCCTCAACAAAGAGAATGAGTTCAAAGTCGAGGTATAAGTTGCCTTCTAATTCAGAGGCGTGAGTGCTACTAATGAGCTTGGCTAACCCCTAGCCCACAGGTCAGAATTCAAAAGGTAAAGAACCTTTACCTGTTTTTGTGCACAAATATATTTTAAATTGCCGTTTAAATCTGGTATTGGTAACCTTTATGTTTAGAGTAAGATAAGACACTATCCGGCTGAATTCTTTGTCTAGTTCTATTCAGTGTTCTGATCTGTCCTGCCTACAAATACATCATTTCCTTTAATGGCTTAACATGTGTAGCTGGTTTCAATACATTTTCTGCCCAGTCATTCCCAGTGCATTAGTTATCTTATGTACTTGAATGTTTGGGATTGTTAACAAATATAATCACTATCATAGAAGATGTTAAATACATTTTAGTTAACCCACAATTTGTACGTTATGCCAAAGCAACAATGTGCCAAAGAATATTAAGCAGTGCTCCTTTTAAAAGCTGTGTTAACGTTTTGTATAGTGGTTGATCTATTTATTAGGTCAACCGCTATACAAAATTGACAGCTAGCTCATTGTCTCTTCATTAACTTGAATAGAACCAATGGCAATGGCAAATTTAAGAAACTGTACTTTCGTTCATCAAATAGCTTTGCTACCTTCAAACAGTTTAGGAATTTGAGATTTGTGGTGGCAGGTTATCTACATCTTGGTATTCCTCCTCAGTGGTTAGAGCACTCGCTTTGCAAGCGAGAGACCTGGGTTCGATTCCCGGCAGGATGAAACCTTGGGCAAGTTTACTTACTCCACACGCCTGATAATAATCCCTTAAAAAAAAACAATAATAAATTGGTCATTTCAATCCATGACTGTTTGTGGGACACTACTGTGCACAATTGGCTGCTGCATTTCGCTCACAAATATACAGTCAATTTACTTTACAGTCTATTCTGTGAAGCGCTTTGAGACATCTAGAAGGCGTGAAAAGCGCTATATCAAATGCAAGGATTATTATTATATTATTATCCAGAACTGTGACCCCAAAAGTCTGATCTCACAAGAGACTGTCAATCATGAATTATTCCACCCTCTTGAATCAACAAAATCTTTTTTCAGGAAAAGCTTGCTGCTGTTCTAGACTGCTAAATAATAATAATAATAATAATAATCCTTGCATTTGATATAGCGCTTTTCACGTCGGGAGGACGTCCCAAAGCGCTTCACAGAACACACTGTAAAGTGATTTGACTGTATATTTGTGGGCGAACGCGGCAGCCAATTGCGCACAGCAATGTCCCACAAACAGTCGTAGATTGAAAATGACCAATTTAATTATTGTTTTTTTTTTTGGAGGGATTATTATTAGGCTCTGTGTGGAGTAAGGAAACTTGCCCAAGGTTTCGCCCTGCCTAGCCCACACTAAGGTTTGCCTCAATTCTCAGGGTTACAGAGGCCTGACCTTTTACTGGCTTAAGACTGGATCACTTTTCCCATCAAAGATTGTACGTTTTTGTAATGGTGTACCAAAATTTCTCAAAGTGCTTTATAGAAATTGCTTGTGACTTTTTTTGCTGGTAAAGGTAGCCGCCAATATACGCACAAGTCCCACAAACAGCCAGGAGATGAATGGCTGATTAATCTGGAGGGTTGTTATACAAGTGCCTTTATATATGGTGCCAATTCATGCGGGGTACTGCCTCAGAGCATTTAACATAACATAGTTTGACACCGAGCTGGGGAGAAAGGG